TGGCCTGTGTCTGTCTGGAATATTATTTGTTGTACCCCTGCAAGGCACCCACTTCTGAAGAAATAATCCCATATTTTTCAGTGGGGTCAAGAAAATAAACAGGGGTCACAGGAGCTGTTTCTCAGCTGTTTCTCCATCATGTGGGAGCCCAGAGCACACCCACGCTGAGGGTGCGTTAGGAAAGAGAGGGCCTCCCCGCCTGCAGCCAAAGGTCCCCTCTAGGGACATCTCAGTCTCTAGGAGCTGGCAGGGGTCTGTCCTTTCACAGATGAGCAGGGAGGAACAGATGGCAGAGTTGAGGCTGACCTCTGTCCACATGTCTGCCTTCAGTCTACCCAGCACATTAGAGAAAGTGTCGGATAGGAGGGAAGGAAAAGAAAATTAAAAAAAAAATAAATCTCAAACCAATGCATGAAAGGTTTAACAAAGGATCACAGATGCAATATTTGTAATACCTCTCTCTCTTTTTTGTTTTTTGTTTTTGTTTTTGTTTTTGTTTTTGAGATGGAGTTTTGCTCTTGTCCCCCAGGCTGGAGTGCAGCAGTATGATCTCGGCTCACTTCATCCTCTGCCTCCCAGGTTCAAGCGATTCTTCTGCCTCAGCCTCCTGAGTACCTGGGATTACAGGCGCGCACCACCACGCCTGGCTAATTTTTGTATTTGTAGTAGAAACGGCGTTTTACCATGTTGGCCAGTCTGGTCTCAAACTCCTGACCTCAGATGATCCACTGGCCTTGGCCTCCAGAATTGCTGGGATTACAGATGTGAGCCACCATGCCCAGCCAATACCTCTGTCTTTCTACTGCCTGCTTCCTGGAGTGTCTGGGGAAGGGCTGGTCTGTCTGCAACATAAACCAGTGACTGCTTTCTCCACCTGACGGTATGGGGTGCCAGGCAAAGCGATGGGACTCCGTCCTGCAGTTTGCAGAGGGGCAGATGCCAGTGCTTTTATACTCGGGGTAGAGAAGGAATTCGAGAGCAGCCGCACCTTCCCCTCTGAACGACACTCTTGGGCTCTTGCTGGGGCTGGGCCGAGTTCAGCACACACATCCTCACTAGCACCCATCCTGGCACAGGCTGCAGCTCACACACAGTGCCCTGCGGGTGTCCCACCAGCACTCGCCCCCCAGCCTTCACTGTGCTTGGCTTTCAGCCTCTCTGGACACTTCCTGGGACCACCCACAATTGCCCTTCATCTCCTCTCAGCATGATTTTCCAGAAGGATTAGTCTAAGCGTAAACGCCATAGGCCTTCTGGCCCTCCAAAACTCAGTCTCAAAAAAAAAAAAAAACGAAAAAAAAAAAAAAAAAAAAAAAAAAACCCTTTTCTTTGTGAAGTAAAAATTAGACTCTTAAATCTGCAAAGAAAACTGTTTATCTTACAAATTTATTCTTTTTATTGGGCCACACATATCCAAGATAGAAAGATAAAAGGAAAACAGATACAGGCCGTCACTTAGAGTGATGTATAATGAGGCAGGGCTCATCCTCATGTTCTGCAAAATGTTCACAGTGCAGAGCGGCCGTATTGCTATTTTTATCTGTAATGTGGCCTGGGCAAGTCCTTCCCAAAAGCTCCAGGAGAAATATGCCCTCCCTCATTTCCCCTGCAGTGTCTTTTTTTTTGTGATTTTTTTTTTTTTTGGAAGATTCAGGGGGTACATGTGCAGGTGTGTGGCACGAGTATATTGCGTGATGCTGAGGTTTGAGCTTCTAATGATCTCGCTGTGCAAGTAGTAAGCACAGTGGTCAATAGGCAATTTTTCAACCTTGCCCCCCTCCCTACCTCCCCTGCCTTTGGAATCCCCAGTGTCCATATATATTTTTTGAGATAGGATCTTGCTGTGTCACCCAGGCTGGAATGCAGTGGCGTGATCCCGGCTCACTGCAGCCTTGACCTCCCAGGTTCAAGTGATTCTTGTGCCTCAGCCTCCCCAATAGCTGGGACTACAGGCATGCACCACCACACCCAGCTAATTTTTGTATTTTTAGTTTTGCCATGGTTTTGCCATGTTGCCCAGGCTGGTCTGGAACTCCTGATCTCAAGTGATCTGCCCACCTCAGCGTCCCAAAGTGCTGGGATTACAGGTGTGTACCACCACACCTGGCCTCCAGTGTCTATTGTCCCCACCTTTGTGTCCATGGGTACCCAGTGCTTAGTTCCCCCTTGTAAGTGAGAACATGAGGACATTCTCCTGCAGCTTTATTCCATAGCGGTTCCTTGCTACTGCTCTCTGGCGGACTCCTCTGGAAGAAGCTTTAGGGAAGGTCCAGATCATGCCACAGGCGACTCTGCAGGAATTACACATTTTTTGTTTGTTTGTTGCCCAGGCTGGAGTATAGTGGTGCAATCTCAGCCCATCACAACCTCCCAAGCTCCCAGGCTCAAGCGATTCTCCTGCTTCAGCCTCCCGAGTAGCTGGGATTACAGACACGTACGACGACCACCTGACTAGCTTTTGTCTATTTAGTAGGGACGGGGTTTCACCCTGTTGGCCAGGCTAGTCTTGAACTCCTGATCTCAAATGATCCACCTGTCTCAGCCTCCCAAAGTGTTGGAATTACAGACATGAGCCACTGTGCCCGGCCCAAGAATTACACTTCTGAAACCTGCCCCTGCCTACCTGCATCCTGAAGCCAACATCCAGGACACCTAAGTCCTGCTTATAATTCCAATCAACAGTGATTGGCCTCCTAACTTAAATTGGCTATCTCGACTATGTTGCCAGGAGCACTTGGGCAGAATTTTAATCAGGCTCATCATTGTTTGAAACTGACCTTCATGATCCCAGCAAAAGGGAAGCTGAGGGAGGCCGGGAGGGCAAATGCAGCATGCTCAGGGTTGGGGTGTGTGGGAGTGGGAGAGGGGTAGAAGGAGATGGCCTTCCCGCTGTCTAAAGCTAGGGTGTGGTTGGCTGGAAATGACATCTGGTCATCACTCCCTCTGGCAGCTGCTCCTGGTAGACTCAACCTGCAGGACATAGAGCCACTGTGACTGTATGTAGAGCATTTGTCTGATGGTGACTTTGCAACACTCTCTTGTGCCTGTTTGCCCTGATCAATCAGCCGTCTTTGGGGGCCTTTCCACATTTATTTGGGCAACCACAATCTAGGGCTTGGTGGAGTGACTTTGAGTTCTAGATGTGGATGAGCCTAACTTCCTACTTGTGCAAAATTATAAGAAAAAAAGCTAGGTAATTATACCCTTTGAATAGCTCTCCAGTGATGGTTAGAAGAGTTGGGGAGAATAAGATTGAAGTGAGATTTCAAATATAAATAACTTTGCCCAGGTGATGATATGGTCGTACACAATCCAACTGCAGAGAGAATGCTCCAAGCCAAGGGTTTCCACAGTTGCTTAGAGTCAATACTCAAATAAGAATTAAATGTGTGAGACCTGGTGTAGTGGCTCATGCCTATAATCCTAGCTCTTTGGGAGGCTGAGATGGAAAGATTGCTTGAGGCCAGGAGTTCAAGACCAGCCTGGGCAACAAAGCAAGACCCTGTCTGTACAAAAAATAGAAACTTAACGAGGCATGGTGGCCTGCACCTGTAATCCCAGCTACTTGGGAAGCTGAAGCAGGAGGATCACTTGTGCCCAGGAGTTTGAGGTTGCAGTGAGCTATGATTGTGCCACTGCACTCCAGCCTGGGTGACAAAATGAGATGCTGTCTCAAAAAAAACATAAAAAGAATTGAATGTGTTGGCCTTCATCTTTCTCATGGTCTACAAGTCTGTCCCTTTTTTGGCTGTTAGCAGAGAACACCAGGAACAGACGTTGAGACGTAAAAAGAGTTTGCATTTTCCATTGCTTGGAAGGCACAGATCTTATTTATTAATCTCTGCAGAACTCGCAGATCTCATTACCCCAGAATGTTCCCTTGTTCTCCTCGTGGGATTTACCGTGAGGCCTAGAGGGTGGGCTGGAAGCTACGGTGAGGACCCCACTATCCTCAGGAGCTTAGATTCTGGGCCAGGCCTTCAGACTCCTGCTCTGTAGGGAGGTCCACGACTGTGGAAGAAAAGTGAGCCCAGAGAAGGTTCTCTTGCTTCTCCTCCTTGAGTTCCCAATTGTCATCTCTTTGGTAGTGTGATGTCAGGCCTTGGGGGTTGCAATAACATATCCTCCAACCACTAGACATTTTGCCAGTTTTATTTACTATTATGTCCCACAATTTCTTTGCAGAAGGCAGCCATATGTAAATTTTATTCCGTTTTCTAATGGTTTGGGTTACATAACAAATAACAGCAGGAAGGAAAATTTGTATCGATACTTGACAGAGGAAGTTCTCAAGTCACTGCAAAAAGATGTGTCTGCAGTGCTGTAAGTTTATGGGAGTTTTGCAGCTGAGTCTCTGCATATGACTTTGAATATGTCACTATATGTTTATCATGGGCTAATTGTGGAATCACATTTCCATACTTTTTCTTCTCCCTTTCATGAGATTACACCAGCCAGTGATGGATACAAGACTCTACAAGGAAGAAATGATCAGTTTTGGATAATTTTCTTTCCTGTCCCAAAATAGCCATATGTCTGCATGTCTTAGGGACTCAGCTGACACACATTTTTTTTAATTTGTTGCTTGCTATAATGCAAATATGATTTCAGTCTCATAGTGAACTCTACAGTGAGTCCATATTATAAATTAATCAGATTCAACAAACACCAACATTTTTAAACTTTTGAAAAAAAATATTTAATAGGAACTAAGCAAAAGAAGAAATCAAACCAGCTGCTGACACAGCTGTTTCTTTTCTTGTTTAATTCAGTTCAATATAAAGGTACCATATGCTGCTTAAAATGATGATAGGAAAGATGAAATAATTTAAGAGAATAACAAGAAAATACATGAATTGTCAGCATTCTGTCAGATTTAAAGAATGAAATAGACAGGTGTAGTATTGACATGTTTAACTTTGTGTGGTGTTAGCAGTTTTGGTGCGAACAACTCCTGACATGTGCTGAAGTGATGTGAGAACGTTTCTCCTTCGCTGCAGACATTGGCGAGGAGGCTGGGAGATCCGCCGGCGTCCAGCAACCGGCGCTGCTTCGCGACAGAAGCCTGGGCTCGGCCATGAAGGACTGCCCGTACTGTGGGAAAACTTTCCGGACATCCCATCACCTTAAGGTGCACCTGAGGATACACACAGGTGAGAAGTCTGAGTGCATCCAGGGGCACAGCCCAGAGGAGGAGGAGGAGGCCCCCGTCCTGCCTGCTTTCTGGCCCAGGTCCACAACTGTGTGGGTCACTAAGTCTGGAAGGTTCTCCCTGGGCTTGTCTAGCCGCCACTGTGTGGATCATAAGCAGCCCTCATTTCCTGATTCATCCCTTAACTAACATTCATCTCGCAAATGACGCAGGGACTCGTAAATGTAGACTCGGGTGGTCCCAGCCTGGGATAACTGGGTCACGTCTGAGCCTCTAGGGCATTTTGCTAATGGTTTCCTTCTGCTGTATTCAAGGGGTTCCTCCCCACGCCCCTGTATGAACCAGTCTCCCAGGTGTCAGTGATGGGGTCTCAGCTCAAACCTTCCTAAGTGTAGAAGGGAGTGAAGCCACTTCCCCAAGCAGCCAGGTAGAATAGGCTTAGGCCGGCCTGCGTTGCTTGCCCAGACCTGGGACAGGGCAGCTGGAGTCAATCTCCATCACTCCATGTGGCGTGGAGGAAAAGTGACTCTTCCCTGTGTCTCCTCAAAGGAGAAATTGAGATGCTCTTAGGCAAAGGGGGGCAAGTGGCTGCTGCACCCCTTTGGCGGTTTCTCATGTCTCGGCATCATACCGGCCGAGGACTGGCTGGCAACAGGGAGTTCTCTGTGTCCCTCAGTCATCGTCCTTTTTAGCTTTTCTGCTTGTTGCTTGCACATTGCCAATATAAAAACAAAAAATCTATCGGAGATATGGACACTTCCATTTTCTTTGATTTTCCTCCTGACACTTTATCTATTGGAGTATGAGCTGCTTCAGAGGCTAGACAAATATGCCATCTATTTTCAAAAATAATTGTGGTTTATTTCCCAAGGAATCAATAAGGCTGTGGGTTGCACAGGAATATTGAGTGCATGTGGGCCGTGTGGGCATCGCGTTGGGGGAGACAAGAAACCCCTCACCTGGAGCCTCACCTGGTCCCCACAAATCTCCCTGACACTGAGGGAAGCCTGAGGACAGATGGGCACAGACGGCCATGGGCTGAGTCACTGGCCTTGCTCATCCTGCATGCCTACCTTGGAGTCATCTCAGGCCAAAGAGGTGTCTTTTAAAACGGTCCTCCAGGTCCCACTACTCTCCCAAATGGCCTCATGCCACCTGCCCATGCCTTGCCCCTGGCCCCATCCTGCCCCCTTCTTCATCCCTGGCACCTTTCTGAAACAGCGTCTGCCTTCCTCCCGTTCCTCCAATGCAGAATGCCTGTTCCAGCTGCAGGACCTGTGTTTCTGCCCCTCCCTCCACCTGGAATCTTCCTCCAGGTGATCCCTGGAGACTTAGCTTCACTGGGATCTAATCAGAGAGGCTGACCCTGACTACCCCACCTAAAACAGCATTATCTTCTTTATAAACTTAACAGTTTCGGAAATAACCCTGTTGGGGTTCATCACTTATTTGTCTCCCACCAAGCAGTGTCTAAGATTTGCACAGGTGGCAATATTGTCCATCTTTTGAATTGCTCTCATTTCTATAACCCCAGGGTCTGCAAGGGCACCTTACACCCAATTGGGGCAGATGAATTTATTTGAAAGATTGAATGACAGAAGAAATGCTCAAATAAGTGAGTGACTCCTCCTGTCTTCCCTGCATTGTTCAAGGTGGCACGGAGGAGTCAAGGGCTGTAGGGAAAGTGGTCCCTTCCCCAGGGAACACAGGAACCCATCAGAAACTACGGCCTGGCAGTCAGGCTGCAAGCGCTGGTTTCTTGGGCATAGACAAAGTGGAAGATCTTCTTCCCGGGAGTTTAGGGAGGGGGCCTTGCATTCTGATCTCAGGGTCTTTGCCCTTTGAACTTCTCTGCCAGATACTTTCATGGCTTGCTGCTTCCCCTTCAGGGTCTGGCTCTGATGCCCTCTTCTCTATGAGGCCCACCCACGTGGCGGTGCACCCCCACCCCACCAGGACTTTCTAGACCCCTTTCCTTCCCTGTGTCACCTCTCCATAGTGCTCACAGCATCTGACACACCATGTCTTTGTATTTCGTTGTTGTTTCTCTCCATGCACTAGAATGTGAACTCCTTGAGAGCAAAGGCTGTGTCTGTTTGTCCAGCTGCATCCCCAGCCTAGAACAGAGCCTGACCCATGTAGGCACTCAGAAAATATTTGCTGACCCAGGCATTCCTGCGTCAACTGGTGAAAGTGACCAGGCTCGAAGGCAGTCAGCCCAGACATGTGGTTTTCTCAGATGATGCTAATGTCCATTTTCCTCCCCAGATTGGAGCCAGGGTTGTGGTGGTGGTTGGGTGGGGCGGGGACCTGCAGACTGCCAGGATACGGGCGGTGGTCCATAGGGCACTCACCCTTAAGCTGTCTGCAGGAGTGTGGAAACCAGGCCAGGCTTGTCTTGTGTATTTCATGTCGATACAGAACACTGGACCACGTTTTCCAGCCAGGTGGTGGCTCTCCATGGGTGAGGTCGGCCTTGCAGAGTGTAAGAGTCAGTGAGGAATGGCGGTGCCTCTCAACAAGGGGCTTCGCTAACCGTGTCGCCCCAAGCCCCGACAGCTTCCCTGGACGTAAGAGTAGACACTCCACAGAATATTTCCAGGCAACTTAGGGCCAAGGCTGACGGAAGTTCTGGGGAAATCTGGGAGAAAGCAAATGGTTACTGCTCTTCGCAGTTTTCAAGCTTGAGAAAGACTAAAGTTTCTGAACTGCTTCACAAACCTCGGCATAGTCTTTAGAGACATTGAGAGAGACAAGATAGGGCCATGGGCAGAGGCATTCTGGAAACTTCCTAGAATCAGAGAGAAAATGAAAGAAGCCATGGAAACATCACACCACCTCCACCACCCCTCGGAAGCAGCATTTGCCTTGTGTAACAGGCAGAATGGTAACCAGATAAAGATCAATTTCCTTTTTATCTAAGAACAAAGAAGCTGGAAAATGCTTACACTTGTGCATTTGAATAGAACAGAAAGTGTTATATGTTATAAATCACCCAAATAAACATCTATTATGACAATGTAAAAGTGTAGATTACACAAGTAATTAAAAATCAAAATCAACGTATTTGTTAATAAGTGATTTCATGTGGGACTCAAGTTGGTGAGAGGCCCTGACTGCCTTCTCTTTTGGCCCCGGTGTCTCTCCTTGCTCCAAATACCATACAGTTTCTGTATTTCTAAATGACACGGCCAGAGGACAGCAGTCTCATTATGAAACAAAAATACATGTGCTCCAAAATGCCATCTTTTTGAAGTTTTTAAACAATGGACCTGTAGGAGCACATTTTAAAACTCAACGTGTAATAAATATATTTTTAATTGGGATATGAGGTGGCACCTTCTCTGTATTTTTTCTGTCCGACTGCATCTTTATTGGAAGTCTCAATCATGTAACATCAATGGATAAAACCTCTCTCCTTTTTCTCCCCACTGCATTAACTCAATTACTGTTTCTCTTCTCCTTACACCTGTTTATTGGAGAGGTGCTGACTAGATGCACCAGTCAGGTTGCTCTGAACATCTGGGAGCCCGGGAGAGCCTATGAGTCACTAGGATGTTTCTGGTGCACCCTAAGCTTCAGCCAGGTCCACAGGGGACCAAGGAGAGGCTCCTGCAGGACCTCGGGAATCCCCAAGGCCATCAGATCCTGGAGGCTGCCTCACTCTGGCTCCAGGCAGTGTAGACGTTGATGGCTGCTTGACCCAGAGAGGGCTGAACTTCTCTCCTCATGGAAACATTACCCTGGGCAGACTAGGGTCCAATCACTGGGTATGGGCAATTTTTCTTCTACAGCAGTGTCTGTGATTCGAATTCAGAGCCAGTTATTGCAGGCTCAGAAAGGAGATTGCATCAGTCAGGGTTCTCCAGAGAAACAGCACCGATAGGAAATGTATGTATGGCCAGGCACAGTGGCTCATACCTGTAATCCCAGTACTTTGGGAGGCCGGGGTGGGAGGATTGTTTGAGCCCAGGAGTTTAGGACCAGCCTGGGCCATGTAGTGAGACCTCATCTCTATAAAAGGAAAGAAAAGAAAAGAAAGAAAAGAAAAAAAAAGAAAGAAAAGAAGGAGATATGCTACACACAGAGAGACACACAGAAACACACAAGAGATTTATAAGAAATTGGCTCAAGTGATTATGGAAGCTGAGAAGTCCTAAGATCCAAAATCTGTAATTGGTGAGCTGGAGACCCAGAAGAGCTGATGGTGTAAATTCCAGTCTGAGCCTGAGCCGGAATGCAGGAGACCCATGTCCTAGCTGAAAGACAGCCAGGCAGAGCAAGCGCACTCCCCCTCGCTCAGCCTTTTGTTCTATTCACGCCTTCAACGGACTGGACAAGGTGCACCCACATTGGGGAGGGCCACCTTGTTTACTCAACCCACCCACTCAAACGTTCATCTCATCCAGAAACGCCCCCACGGACACACCCAGAAGAATCCTTAACCAAATATCTGGGCACCCTGCCGCCCAGTCAAATTGACACAAAAATTAACCATCACAGAGATACATCAGCAAACATTTAGTTGTAACATGCAACGGGGAGGGCGCATGTCCCCAGAGTCTCCTGAGAGGTTGGCAAATCATTTCAGGATTGGTCTCCATGCGCACATGCCATTCTTTCCCTCCACGTCCCCTCCCTGCACCCTACCTTGGAAAGCCAGGTGCCTGGGGGTACTCTGGAGGGTCTGATGTATCTGTTTTGTGTGCACAGGAAGCAGGCGGATGCTGACAGATCCCTGAAAGGCTGGGGGAGGCTTGGCCCCCTGATGGGTGAGCACCTCCTGCATGGCTGTGGGACTCCTGGCTGGGTTCCCTAGGGCGGCTCTCCCATGTGTGGGTTTTTCAGGATGGGGTTGTTGTCTCAAGGAATGACCATTTTAGAGAAATGTAATAAGCAACTTCACTCGTGAAAACTTGGAGGCATGAAAGTTCAGGGACTAATTAAAAATAAATCTCATTAGTTTCTTCCCCCTCTCGAGTTCTGCGAGTGGTTTATTAA